ACTCCCCGGTACCTGTCCGCTGCCCTCCCTACCTGGTCGCGGGGCCGGCCGCTGCTCCGGCCCCAGGATGCAGAATGTGATTAACACAGTGAAGGGAAAGGCGCTGGAAGTGGCTGAGTACCTGACCCCAGTCCTCAAGGTAAGCCGGGCCGGGCTTGCCAGGGGCTGTCGGGCGCGCACTGTGCCCTGCAAGGACCGGCCGCGAGAGGGGCCCCTGTTCTAGGCGGGGAAAGGTTCAGGGGTAGGACACAGAGAAGGGGCAGTCCTCCTCTGTGGTCTTCCTTGGCTGCTCTTTAGGGCTTCTTGGCTTTTCAGACATGGAGAGTTGGATCCACCCTCAGTGCGAGCCCGTTTCTCCCAGTCATTGCTCTCCCCGGCTGGGTACGTCGGGTGGAAAGGTGGTCCATAACTAAGACTTAAGAATGTTAAATCTTAGCATAATTTTTAAACGAGCATTTTTGGCTTATTTTTTAAAAAATGAAGTCAGTTTTGGTAGCAAAATGACATATGTCCCTTTTTTTCCAAGTTTTATAGAAAACTCTTCTAGTATCAAATAGGTATACTGTAATTTAGGTCCCAACTAGTTTAGATTTCAAAGGAACAAAGTGAAATTGATACCACTAGCTCAGTAACATTGAGCACAGCTAAGTAACAGAACCTCCTTGTCAAGCTTACAAAATAGCTGTAACTGGTTATCTTGGACTTACTTAAGTGGTAATAAGCAGCTTGACTCACTTGAGTATTTAATTTTTGATATTCTGTATTGACATCAGTACAAAAGTTTTAAAGTAGAAACTGGTAGAGTAGCTGTTACAGTAGTGACACGATTGTTTCTTATTTTCACAGGTAAATTTCTACAATTGCAAGTTTTTTCTTTCATCACTTTTATAACAAAAATTTTGTTATAAGTTTACTTTTGCTTTCTGAAAAGTGAGCAAGTAAATCAATGGCAAGTTCTTGGTTTCTTTGGTTCTTTTTTGAGCTTTTAATTAGAATTTTATTGATCTTAGTGTAGGAATGAAATGAAATATTCTGATATAGTAATAAATAATGGGTAATTTTCTTTGCTCCTTTTCATTGACAAAGAGGAATGTTAGGTCTGTACTTTTTAAATAACTACTTATTTAAAAAATTCGTTTAAAGATAATATCTTGTTGGATCAAGTAAGAAAAAAAATCAAGAAGTTATTCATGACAATCCTTTATTGCTCTGCTTATGTTTATTTGCTGTGAAAGTCAATTTAGTTAAAATTATCCAACTATTTAAAATTTGAAAATAGTTTCAACATTTGCACCAAATGCTTTTTTTTTTTCCTTTTCATTCCTTTTGGTGTGTGTTGCCTTTTCAGAACAGTCCCTGAAGATGAATCCTCCTCATGATTTTAATGTATAGCTGTTACAATTGTTTGGTTTTGAGGCAAAATAACCAAAAGACCCTCAAATTAAATATACAGTTTTTTGGGGGGGAGTACTGGGGATCGAACTCTGGTCTTTGCGCTTGCAAGGCAGGTAGCAGAACCACTGAGCTAAATCCCTGGCTCTAAATAATACAATATGCTATTTAATATGCCAGTTGCATTTTATTAAACATATGACATAGCATTGTTTTGAGAAATCATTTTAATGTTTCACCAACCTGAAAAGAAATTGTTACCATGTTAGAATGTATTACCTGTATTTTTATTATAAAGGAAATCAGAATTGATGATCATCTTGTCACTCTTGTGCTGAATCTTTACAGTTTCCTACTAGATGAGGGAAGGCAAGGAGAAGAAAAAAATCCTTAAGAAAGAACTAGGAGTCTTCTTTTGACAGTAAAAGTTAGGAAAGGTTATGTTTTATTTTGAGGACATACACACAGTAAAAGCCCGAAGTCCTCACAATGATTTTTAAGGCTTATTTCTTGATCTGTAGAGATCCTCCTGTCATCTGCTATGTTCTAGGATCACTCCTGTGTAAGAGCCAGCCTTTGGTACTCCATCGAGTAGTCTTACATCTGAGCAAGAAGAGCATGTACTCTTTCCCTGAAATACTTATTCTCCTGTAGACAACCTTTTATGGCTTGTTCATTTACTTAGTTGTTCCAGTCATCTATTTAAACCTTTATTCTCTTATACTGTTTTTATTGGCCATTTATCCTCCACCACTCAACAGTTTCCCAGTGTGCTTCATTTTTCTTCATGATATGGTGCACATTTCTTTCTCATGTAGAATGTAAGCTTCTTTTGATTGCTAAGATGAATTTGGTGAATTTTATTTACACCTATATCCTATTGCCCCATACTGCCTAGTACTTAATAGTAAATATTTGTTGAGATAATAACATTTATTCACTAAATGAACCTTTGCATTTTTGTAGACTACCACAAAATCTTACAAATTTAGAAAAATTTAATAGATAGCACCCTTTACAGGAAAGAACATTATTTTACTGTATTGGTGGAAATAATAATGGGACATACTAAGAAATTTCTGCTTTTGGTTTCTAATGTTACTTGATTTACATTAGACATTGGCTGAATTGTAAGGTATTTACATACCTTTAAGACGTTTTTACGCTGCTGTGAAATAAAGATGATTGTTCATTTTATAGAAACATTGTAAGACTTCATGTTTGTTGAAACCTTGGAATGTTTTTTTCTTAGAGGTATTTATTATAACTGATCAAATTGCATTGTAATTATTTTCATGTCAGTTTCTTATATTAGACTTGTATGTCATTGTAGTGAAATACCAGTGATACACACATACAATTTATACATTGTTGTAGTCAAGTACCAGTGATGGTATATGCAATTGTCTAGGAGGGTTCCAGACAAATAGTTGCCCCCAAAGCATTTTTTAGTTGAAAATAAAATATGTTGTAATACTGTTGATATTTTCTTTTTCTTTAGGAATCAAAATTTAAGGAAACAGGTGTAATCACCCCAGAAGAGGTGAGTGATGAAGATATCCTGAAGCTTTTATATTTTAGGGTGTATTAAACTGGGTGTCTCCACTGCTTCATAAGAAAACGTCTTGAACTTTCTAACTTGAACTTTCTGAGTAAAATTAGATTTTTGCTGGTTATATACTGATGATAAGTATTTGTACTTCCCATAAAAGAGAAGATGTAACTTCCTTTTTACTTTGCCACTTCCGGTATTTCTCTGAAGTTCTTCTTTCTTTAGAAATGAAGGTGGCAGAAGGATGGAAAAGATTTCTATGGTCACTTACATTTTACTCACATTTTTATTATATTGAGCTGTACAAGTGGGCTGTGTAGTGTTTGCTGTGTTTTGGATCTGCTATACTAAATGTGAATTTTCATGATTTCCATGTGTAAATTTTCACTGCTTAGTTATTAAATTCTCTCTTAATATTCAGTGTAAATATTGTATTTGTTAGATTCTTTCCACTTTTTTTCACTTTTTCAACTAAACACGTAATGTTGAAGTTGGTTAATATTTCATGGGCCATTGTATTTTATTGATTTTTGAGAGGGATGATTTCCATGTGTAAATTTTGTTCACTGCTTAGTTATTAAATTCTCTCTTAATATTCAGTGTAAATATTGTATTTGTTAGATTCTTTCCACTTTTATAACTAAACATGTAATGTTGAAGTTGGTTAATATTTCATGGACTAGTGTATTTTATTGATTTTTTGATAGGGGGACAGAACTGGGGATTCAACCCACTGTGTTCACACTGAAATGTGTCCCTATCTCTTTTCACACTGTGATAGGATCTCCCTAAGTTACCCAGGTAGGACTTGAACTTGGGTGCCTCTTGCCTCAGCCTCCTTCAGTCCTGGAATTATAGGCATGTGCTGCCGTGCCTTGCTTATTGAACTTCTACAACAGAATTATTTTTTGAGGACACATTTCATTGTTTGACAAATTTGTATTATGAAAGCATTCTTCATTGAGGTAGTTTATTCCTAGCAAAGTAAATACTAAAAAACCTTTTAAACTCCAATTTTGCAAATAGTTGTAGTTGGATTAAATTTGTTATTAACAAAAGGCAAAAAATTTATTTAAACTTGATTTTTAATTCACTGAAAACTACTCATTGGTAATACAGTTGTATTGTTTTGAAAGAAATGTTTTTGAGATCAGTCATGTTGTATAATGATGCCCACAATAAAACAGAAACCCTAAAATGAACTGTTAAACTGATGAAAGGAGTTATGAATTTTCCTTAAAAAAATTTTCAAGGCAAAATTAATACATCTGGGTACAGAGCTTATAATGCTAGATTGGAGTACAGCACAATTACGGGATTGAATGAGATTAGAATGAGTCTGGAAGAGGAAGATGGGAAGGCAGCATTTGCTCTGGATAACTTCTGTACTGAGTTGATTTATTCATTTGTTTCATTTTACTGTTTCTGAATAAAATTTTCAAAATTCTGTCTGTTAGTGGCCAGCTATCTTTTTGTTTGAGAGGTGTCAGAGTCTTTGTGTTTAAGAAGAGGGGCAGCAATATCTAATAATGTATTATCTGAAGAAAATATCACTGGATGTGTTTTTTGAGTTGTATTAATAGAGAATAGATTGAGGAATAAAGTTGCTCACCAGATGTAAAGCTTGATTCTATCTTATTGGAGTTATTTATTGATAAATCCCACAAGAGGGTAAACACTAAGAGAAAGCTACTACAAGCAATATGATGATTTGAAATGTGACTATGTTACAAGTTATTTGAATATACACAGCAAATAATAATGGCTGTTGCTAGTAAGGGCAGGTGCACGAGTGTGCTAATTACAGTGCAATTCTGTGTTTTTTAAAATAATTTTTCTTTTTAGGTTGTTTAGTTGTTGTTATTTTTTAATAGATAATATCAGATTGCAGAATAAACTTAGTCTTGTGATTTCAAGGAAATATACCATAACGAATTTTTAAAGTTGTTTGGTTTGCATTTTGTTATTACTTTTGATGGTAGTAAATTAATTTCCGATAACCATAGAGCTAAAAGTAGTTTGGTTCCAGTGGCCCCCAAAATACTACTGAAATTACTGTTTTCATTTTCTTTTTTGTCTTCATTTAATAAGTTTAAATAATAAGGAAATTTAAAAAATGAAAGAACAAACATTTCTATATCTTCTGTTGGGAATGTAGTTGCTGTATCTTATTTTGATGATGTACCATCTTAAAAGAAGTTATCTTCAGAATTGTTTCTTGATAAAATTTTATTTTCTCAAAGTATAGTATTTTATGTGGGCATACTTTCTCCAATGGGCATTAAAGAACTACATGAATTGTACTTTTGCTGTGTAATTAACTCCTGAACAATACAAGATTTTAAAGTAGAGCTGTTGTGAAATAGAGGTAATTGAGAAAGGTTTGTACACATACTGCTTGTATTGGAACACTCATTACGCTTGACAGACTTTCACTTTCTTTTCTTAAAAATGAGGAATTCTGTCCTTCAGTGAGATCATGTTATGTCCATGTAAACTAGAAATTCTCAAAAGATTAAACTGCTTCTTAATGAGTTTTTTATTGCTAAAGAAAACCAAAAGCTTGTATAATATTCAGTCTGCCCAGAAAGCCCAAGCTTCTTAGAAGATTCAGTTTCTTAATTTTGTCATTCCCAAAAGTTCTTATTTCTTTTGTTGGGTACTACATTTGTCTGTCTTGTTAATGATTCCTTTAAGAATGTGATAAAGCTTTCAAAATTGGCCATTATTTAAATGAAACAAATAAAATACAACACTGGGTATGTAACTCAGTGGTAGAGTGCTTTCTTAGCATGCAACAATCCTAAACACTGGGGAAAAAAAAAAGCTTATACTGATGTGATGTGATAGAGATTTACATCATAGACTTGTATCTATTACTGATATTTTCAAAGATTTTAGTTGAGTTTTCATTTACTAGCACAATTCTCTGTATATTTTATTTATCTATAAAAAGGATCTTGACATCTTAGTTTCTGTAGCCTTACCCTTATTAATTTAATAATATTGTATGTTTTGGGCATTATATAGTCAAATAATAAAATTGAATTAAGAAATTATACACTTTTTTCTTTTGAAATTTCACTTTTCATAAATGTTTAAACTCTTAAGTTTAATAATAATAAAAAATAGATCCTCAGGTTGATAGAGCAGGTTTGGTTTGGTTTTCATTTTAATTATTAGGTATAAAGGTTACCTAAGGTAATCAGTTTGGTATTTTGCCAGCCTGCATTCGATGGTGTTTAATTTTTCTTTTTCCTGTTTTTATTTCTTCCAAATCCTAAAGTTTGTGGCAGCTGGAGATCACTTAGTCCACCACTGCCCAACATGGCAATGGTAAGTAAGTTTAAATGAAAAGTAAAGAAGCTTTAGAATTATCATAATTTGCATATAGCTTAGTGCATGAAAATTACAATGTCAAATTTTTTTGTTTATTTTGTGTTTTGTCGATATGCAGTTCAGGCTGACCTTGAACTCGCTATGTAGTCCAGGTTAGCCTTGAACTCCCAGTGATTCTCCAGCCCCAGCCTCCCAAGTGCTGGATTACAGGCGTGAACCACCACACCAAATTCAATGAACTTTGTTTAGTAGATTTTTCTATTAAACTGTACCCCAGTGGTACTTAAAGGGACAAAAAGTGGGCATTACGTCTAATTTTATTCTTGTTAGCACTAAAGATGGACATGTTTGAGATAAATCTCCTTTGTAGTGTCTAGGTCGAATCCTGTAGTTCCTTAAAAGAAAAATTCAGAAGTTTAATAAATTTGATCATTTTCTTTTTTTTCAAATAAACGTTTATTAAACATTTTTAATGACAAGAAATACATACATTTTCTGGGAGTTTTATGTTTTCTTTAAAACCTGAAACAGACCTTTTTTTTTAAGATTGAAAGGTATGTTCTCTCTTTAGTAATTAGCTAACCTTAAATGTTCATGATACCAATTAAGGTCTTAACTGTAAATTTGCTTGTAATAGACTTCAGATTTTATTTTCTTCATTAATGTAACTACTAAAATAATGTAGCATATATTTTAAAATATGAATAAAGCAATGTTTTGAAACAAATACATTTTCATTGTTTTTAAGTATTAATGTTAAAAAGTTCCTGAAAAAATAATCGTAACAGCAGCAGATCTGTTTTGGAATTTGTCACCTTGTTTGGCTGCATCAACTTGTTATATATATATATTTTTTTCTTTTTATTGAGTTTATTGGTACAATCTAGGTATACAGTACAGTTACATTCATCATTGGGATTCTGTACCTTTACATAATAGGTCTTGATTCTCATTTTTCCCCTTGTCCCTGCCCTCCCTTCACCCCCTCCTCCCCTCCCCATTTACAAACACTTTATTTCCATTTTTTCAGTTTCTCATATTTTTTTCCTCTCCCTTATTACCTTTCCCCTACCCTTCCCACTTTCCCTACACCTTTAGCCCTTTACTTCCTATTTCACATTATTAATTATCTCATTAGGATCCTGTGTACTATTGTAGTTTTTCACACCAAAGAAACTATTTGGTATTTCAGTTAAAGAAATCTCTGTATGAACATTAAAAATAGGCAATCCTAAAATAAAACTAAAAAGGAAAGTAAAAGAGAAAAGGCAATGATGTAACATCCAAATAATCCTTAATTCTGGAGATGAAAATGGTCCTTGAACATATTTAAATTGCTTCTTGCTCTTATAGTCTTATCTTATTCTTTTTTTCATTATTTAGAGAATACTTTATTAGTTTCTGTAATCAAACCCACGTAGATATGACCTTATGTATTTAGTACAATGTGTTACCCCTGTGCACATGGAAAAAATAAATTAAAAAAAATTAACATTTCTAGACCAATATGGCTGTCAATTTTTGTACAGTGCCAACTCAACACAGTAAATTGGGATGACTTTTTCCAAAGTTGGCAGCACTGTTAAAGTTTCCCAAAATTCAATTTATATAT